CCCCAAAACCCCAAAACCCCAAAACCCCAAAACCCCAAAACCCCATGAGAAAGGAGTAAGAAATTAATTATAATAATATTCAAACATCAATGGACTTAAAGCTAGGTGGCAAGTATAAAATAGGCAAAAAGCTAGGATCAGGCGCATTTGGAGAGGTTTACGTAGCCAAAGATCTAAATAACGACAGTGAAGTCGCTGTCAAGGTTGAATCCAACCGAACTCGCCATCCACAATTATTACATGAAGCCAAGTTAATTAAGATGCTTAAGGGTAAAGGAATACCAGAGCTCAAAGGAGCCATTATTGAAGGAGACTATAATGTCATGGTGATGCAGCTATTAGGTCCCAGTTTAGAAAACCTGTTTAAAATGTGTAAATAACAAATTTGGATTGCATACAACACTTATGTTTGGAATCCAAGCACTTGAGAGAGTCGAACATATTCAATCTCTTGACTTTCTTCATAGAGATATAAAGCCTGATAATTTTACTATCGGTAACAAAAAGCCATCTACAGTATATATGATTGACTTTGGACTGGCCAAGAGGTTCAGGAATCCAAAAACCGGTCAACATATCCCATGGAAAGAAGGCAAAAATCTTACTGGGACAGCCAGATATGCCTCCTTGAACACCCATCTTGGTTATGAGCAATCGAGGAGAGATGACCTAGAAGGCCTTGGGTATGTGATGCTCTATTTCCTTAAAGGAAAATTGCCATGGCAAGGCCTTCCAGCTAAAACTAAATAAAGAGAAGTATGATAAAATCAAGGAAAAGAAAAAGATGCCTATAGAAGACCTCTGCTATAAATTACCCAAAGAATTTTCAAAGTACCTAAATTATTGAAGAAGCCTTAATTTTGAAGATAAGCCTTGCATTTCTGATCTACGGAAACTTTTTAAAAACCTTCTCTCAAAGAAAGGATATGAGTATGATTTGAAATTTGAATGGCTAAACAAGAAGCCACTCAAAACTATCAAATATGTAGAGCAAGAAGAGGAAGAGCCTGATTATAAAAAGAAGCTCAAAGCCATCTTCGATCATTAATTATATTTTAACTCAATTCCTACTCAACCCATGGGGTTTTGGGGTTTTGGGGTTTTGGGGTTTTGGGGTTTTGGGGTTTTGGGGTTTTGGGGTTTTGGGGTTTTGGGGTTTTGGGG